TATTTGCGATCTTTTGGATTAAAGTACACTTAGTTCCATGGACATCCTTTGTATTTCCAGACCCCAGCCTTCAAATAGTTAAGAGATTCCAAGGAGAAAAAAAATCAGTGCTGTTTAAAAACGTCATTCAACAAATAAGTACTGAATGCCTACTGCTATTAACACCACACTGTGCTGTGGATTCAGAGGCAACTGGATCCACTGCGCTCCTGTTCTCATGGAGAAGAGGGAAGGGATTTCTTGGTTTATGGCCTATAGAAATCTACAAAGACAGTTATGGATTCCACTTGATTGTAGGAATTAAAAATGATTAGTTCACTTTATCTCTCTGGCTCTGTTGTATTTGTGCTTTTCTGATTTTTAATAAGCTCATTGCAAAGGATGGCCAAAGTAATCACCATCATCTCTGGATCCTCTCAAGAATCAAGTGATCTTTATTAGTCTGTTTCTGTGAGAAGCAAGATACTTAAATATAATTAAAAATGCGATTTTATTAGGTAAAATGCCTGAGAGAAAATGTGAAGGGAACTGCAATAGGCAGGTTAAGCTTCTGACCGAGAAGAAAATACAGAAGGAAGGGTAGGTGTAGAAATTTTGACACAGGACCATTGGGAATCCTCAAGTTAAGTCAATCATTGGAAGTCTTGTCTCCCAGAACAGGTTTGCCTTCACATCTGTGTTGCCTGTGTTCACTGGCTTGGAACAGTAGGTAATATATCCTTGTGAAGATGTGATGGGCTTTAAAATGAAGCATCTACAGCCCAAAGCTAATTAAGCTACCTGTTTGAAAGTTTGAAATTCATTCTCATGGCAGTTAAATGACTCGAGATAAGAACACAACTTACTGTCCTACAGGATCAAAATTACTATTCCCAAAGCTTCCATTGCCATCTACCTGTTTAATCACTTGGCTATTTCAGGACCCATGATTCATGGGGAAGGGTCAAATGGGGACAGACGACTAGGCATGATGATTTTACATGTCAATATGAAACCATGCAGATTTGCCCCTAGCACACATTCCCACCACTGTCAGTAAACGTGGCTGCTTTTCACTTGCCATATGACTATGCACTTGGAATTCTTTGTTCATCCGTATCCAAGAGCCTGGAGTAAATGAGTTAGATCAACCATTATCTGGGGTGGGAGGCAGAATTAACAGGAATTTCTATTATATCGGCACATTTAGTTATATCTTCCCTTTCTTGGTCATAATATCATAAAATCCTGTCATTTTATTTACTAATATATTCTAATTTTAAATTCTAAATTATAGTCGTCTCTGATAAATCTTTTTACCTTCTATTTCCAGATATTGCTAAGAATTATTGAGAATTTCCAGTCCTAGTTTTTTTTCTTGAATCAGTAAGTTACAGAGAAATTTCTAATTATATCTAATGAATGTGGAACTAATTACTGACAACTACATTAAACTCAAGCTTACTTGCTATTGGAATCCTGGATGCAGATTTATGTTTGCTTCTATTCCTAATCATTCCATTTTTATAACTAAGTTTATGCCTTACTAAAATTTTTCAAATGTTCATGACAACTTATTGGCTTTAAGATTATCCAATGATGTGCCATGTATTTACTTACAAAAAGCAGAAGACAAAACAATACCATGAAGTTATCTATTTCTGCCAAGGGAGAGGCTTGAGAGAGAAAACAGTTTAGACCATGTGTCATGCCATTTTGTTTTTGGAAGGAGAGCCAATGATATTCTGAGTTGAATATTTGTCAAACTTTTCATTAATTATTTAGTAAAAATACCAAAAACAGTCATACCAAGTACAAAATTATCTGTTTGTTTTCAGTTTTGTCTTGCTACATGGTCTGTAGTATCTAAAATAGTGCTTTGCACATTTTTAAAAATACATTATCTTTAATTGCCTAAAGAATGTGTTCTTTTAAATATGCAATGTGTGTCAGGCATGTTGGCACACACCTGTAATCCCAGCACTTGGGAGGCTGAGGCAGGAGGATTGCTGAGAGTTTGAGGCCAGCCTGGGCTACATAGTGAGTTCCAGGTCAGTCTCAACTACATATTGAGACCCTGTCACAAAAAAATAAACAAACAAAAAACAAAAACAAAACCCCCCAAAACAAACAAAAAATGCAATGTGTACTGGCACCAAAGAAATTTTCAACTTTCAAAAGTACAAAGACAATTCCCAATACAAGAAACAATTAAAAGATAACAATTATAATAGAAACTTAGAAATTTGTGGGAAGTTTTTAAATATACACTTATAAATAAATCCTGGGTGAAAGAATTTCAAGGTGAAATTTTAGAGTATCTAGACACAAACAAGATTACTACAGTATCAACTTCCAGGATACATAAAAATCTGAGAGGAAGATGTTACAATCAAATGCATGCATTACAGAGAATGCTTGAAATGAGAACAATTTAATTTATGAAGCTAAGGTGAGGGGTGGAAACCAAAAACATGTAAGATTTAGTAAAAACTAGTAATTAATGATGAACACAAGAAAAACAGAAACGGGCCAGGGATTTTAGCTCAGTGGTTCTACCGCCTGCCTCACAAGCATGCAAGGTCCCAAGTTCAATCCCAGGCACACACACACACACACACAAAAAAAAAAAAAAAAAAAAAAGCCAGGGTGATCCATAGTCAATAAACCAAACAAAACTTTTAGCATGGTTTAGAATGTCTGGTAGGACAGATGGTTACTCTGTCAGTAAGAGGTAGTTAGGACATATAATTCCACAAAATCTGATAAAAGAGAAATAAGATATATGAAAAGCTTTCAAAGATGAAAACTTAAGTGCTACTGAAGAATGCAGTAGACTCGACTGAAGAATCTTAACATGTTTATTGGCGAGGAAAAGTGAATAGAGAATACAACTGAGCCTCAAAGCTTTCAACTTAGTACAGCCCCAATAAAACCCCCAAAGCATTTTCTAGGTGAAATCTACTTTTTCAGTAAATCCAGAAGACATTTACAAAGTTAGATACAGCATTGAAAGTGCACAATATTTTAACCAAACTGTACCATAAGGCTATTTCAGTCATATATTAGCAACTAAGATACATTATAAAAAATGTATCAACTTCACTGTTGTGTACCTATGTAAATGCACTCAGGCAAAGGTAGGCAGCAAAGCCTTCCTCACATGTAGGCTACCTGTTATGGCTATCATCAGAGATGTGGTCTGTCACTGACTGAAACATTACACAGCACATGACTGTATTAGTTTGTTATGGATATTTGAAGTTACCTAACTCATGGCTTAGAAAAACACCTATTTTGTTGCTCAGTTATGTCAGTCAGGAGCCTAACAAGGTGGGGGTTTCATTAAGTCTGACATTCAGGTGTCAACTAAAGTACTACCTGGAGGATCTGGGAAAAAAATTTTTACTTCCTGGATCATTCTTGTTACTGGCAGAACTTGGTTCCTTGTGGAAGTACCATTTTCCTATTCGCTATTGGCAGGGGTAGCTCGGCATCTCAGGCCCATGCCACATACCTCTCCCCATCTTTGGTAAGAAAGATTCTCCCTTCTATCAAGTTTTTCTCATGTTTCAAAACCCTCTCACTTCCCCTTTTACCACCAGCTGCATAAAATTTTCTTATTTTAAAGAGCTCCATGTGATCAGGTTAGGCCCAAATGGATTCTTCTCCTTTTACTAAAACTTTTGTGCCATGTGACATAATGTAGGTACAGAGAAAAAATTTTATCTTCGGTCATCAGTATTAAGATGATAAATCTCAGGGCCATCCCTTCTTTCTTCAAAGTGGCAAATTCTTTTAAAATAAAACAGGGCAGAATTATCAGGTGAAGCAAAATAAAGAGTAGGAATTTGCTCATTTCGTTAAGTTGTAATGTATTTTTCCACAACTACCATAACCTTGCTATCTTTCTAGGGGCACAGAATGTAATTAGAATTGTTTGACTTCAAATTAACTTTCTATATTGTCCAACAATCACAGATTTGAAATAAACATTTTGTGGGTATTTCACTACATTAAATCTTGGTAATATTTTTTGTTTCAACTTTTTTTTTCAACACATACTTCATTCTAAATAGGACTCCAAAGAGAGGTAATGTGAGAGATCACGTGCAATCTTTGACCTTTGTAGAAAAATAAACTGAAAACATGCTACAATTTGTATATTACTTAACTGACTATACAAAAATAGTTATTTCACCAGTATATTGAGACAAATTACTTTTTTCATACATCTTAAAAACCCTGTATGTACCTTTTACTAACAACACATCCCAATTTGGACAAGACATTTCAAACACAGGACAGTCACATAATTCTTAACTGTACTGAAAGAAAAGACACTAGCTTGCATATTTCTGTCTGGTTCATCTACTTATAGACAAATATGAGCTGTCAACCAATTTCAATGTCTCCACCATAGCTTTACAGATTAGATGAAGTATACTATTAGCACAATTTGCTCATTATCAAACATTAAACTGAGATTGGTGCTATGTCTGGTACTAAACAGCAACAAAAGTGGCAGGTCATTCATCCAACTACAGACACAAACATAGGTAACAGGAGAGGCTATTTTTCTTCATAGTATGTGGCACAATTACTAATTTTCTGTGTTTCTGTACTTATACTGTGCATGTGCATGTATGTGTTAAATGCATGTTTCTCCTTTTATACGCCACAAAGGTAAGAAGTATACCTACTTTATTTTCTGTTATGTACCCAGGCTTCAATGAGGTCAAATATCTATTAAAGGCATGGCCATGTATTACCATTTCATCATTGTAGTTTCCAGTTAGTCATGACACAGTCTCATAGTCCACATTTTCTTAGTGAGAGCAGTAATGACTGTCTCCTTGTTAAACACTTTCTAGTAGCCTACCCCAATCAATAAAAAGTAATCATATCCAGATGTGCTAGCACACACCCGTAATCCCAGCTTTCTGGAAGGGTGAGGCAGAAGGATCTCAAGTTGAAGTGTTGCCTGTATAACTCAGCAAGACCTTGTATCAAAAAGCAGGGAGGAGATACAGCTCAGTGCAAAGGTGCTGGGTTATATCTGCAGTATTGCAAAACAAAACAAAACAAAAAAACACAACAATTTCCCATTAGTCAGAATGTTATTTATCTTGTCTTCACCACATTCTCTTCCTCCAACACACAACAAAATCAGAATGAGGCACAAATGAACAGTAAAAGAACTGCTTACATCCATCTTTCAAGAATTAAAACAGATAAGACAAACATGGAGAGCTATAATAGTGAATACTGTTTCTCACCAGACATTCAACAGTGGCATAGTAGTTATGAGGTCTAGAGACTCCAGAGGCTCCTTTGGCAATCTATTTTATGTTAAAACAACAGAAATACTGTAGCTATGATACAAGAAAACTGGGCATCAAACTTGAATTTAGGACCTCATGCTTGCCACATGCTGTGTTGCTGAGCTACATCACTGGATGTGTACTGAGTCTTTTCAAAAAAGCAAACTAAAAACAATGTTTAACTACAGAAAAAAAACACAAACAAAAACAAAAACCCATTACCAGAAAAAAAGAGTATCGCATAAAGTCTTTTGCTAATCTTGAGGGTATAAAAATAATTTTATATAGAGTGTAACATCTGGAAGAATGTAAGAATCAAGAATGAGAGCAGCACTCATCATTTTCTATATACAATAAAATGGCACTTTAATATTGGTATTACCTAAACCAATTTATAGTCAGTTTTGTGATTTTAGCACAAATATCCTCCAACTACTACTACTTGAGTGTACCCTGTTTTATAAACTATTGGTACATATAAGCATTTCATATCATTCAAAACATTTATTTATCTTTTCTGTGTAAATCTTGACAAATGTTATCATACTTAAAATGTCCTAAAGAAAATTACTTTTTTTTCTTCTTCTTAGGTGAGCATTCCAGAACTGGGGTAAGTTCAACCTCTTCACTGTGTTTTCTTTTCTTTTTTTTCTTTTTATGGTCACTTTGGTAACCACTGGAGTCACTGCCTTGGAAAACAGGGTCCTGATCCTGATACTCCTGGTCCTTTTTCTTCTTTTTCTTCTTCTTCTTTGGCCCTTCTTCCCAAGGGTCATTCACATTATTACTAATCTGCAGGTCGTCTTCTTCCTTTGGAGTCATATCTACTAAATCTGCTAGCTCTGTGACACTGACATCCAAGTCATCTATTTCTGGGGCTTTCTTCTTTTTCTTTTTCTTCTTCGCAATTTTTTCAACAGCTTCCTCTGTGACAGTTTCTGTTACTTCTTCAGAAATTTCAAAGCACTTGGATTGTAAACTATAAAAAGTTAAAAAATTACCAGTAATAAGAAAAATGAGATAAACAGTATATCAATATACAAAAACTTTCCAAATAACAACACTATAAGATACAAAACAACAACATGAATTTCAAATATTCTATCCTGTTATCCCTCCCCAAAATGACAGATCTATGGGCCATCAAACTGTTAAATTCTGTTTCCACAGTATTTCTCCAGGAGTCAAAACATGATTTCTTTCTCTTTCTTTCCTTCCTTCCTTCCTTCCTTCCTTCCTTCCTTTCCTTTTTTTTTTGGTACCAGGGATTGAACTCCGGTCCTTGCACTTGCAAGGCAGGCCACCGAACTGCTGAGCTAAATTCCCGGCCCATCAAAACATGATTTCTAAATTTTGGTTTGATTTAGAAAAACTTTGTCAAAGACAATAAATTCAGGCTTATAAGGCAAACAAGAAACATTTGATAAAGAAGAAATATAATTTCTGTATGTATCAAAGCAATGGAGTTTTTTTGTCTAATAGTTCAATCCTTCTTTCAAGTATGATGCACTAACCTAGAGATGTTTAGTTTTCCTCGAATGCAGAATACTCCAGCAGCATCGGAATCTAGACGAAATACTTCAAATTCTAGTTCATCACCCACGTTTACCTCCACAGTGTTCCACTGCTCAACTGACATTTGCTCGGGCTTAGGAATGGAGGCATTAAAACATCCATGTACTAGACAGCCAATGTGGCTAGAAGACACTTTATTAACTATACCCTGGGAAGAAAGAATAGGAACAGAACATCATGAAGAGATGAAAAGAATTAAAAGGTGAATAAAACTATAAGATTCAAACTGATCTTTACAGAGAATACATTAAATTAATCGTACTATTTAGTATGGAAAAATTTTAATTCAATTACAATTTACCATATGCCATACCAAAATATAACTTTGGCGTACTACAGAATTTTTAGAAAGCTCATTTTATTAGGTGATTGAATGTCAATTATTTAACTAGATAAACTAATCAATTAAGCTGGCCTGCTTCAAACAGGTCTTCAAACAAACAAAAAAATACCTAGGCCCCTCTAACAGGATTCCTTTGGGACTAAATTACTCTATAAAGTATAACCGCAGTAAAACCAAGCAGAAAATACTACAACCTACACACAAAAAGACCTCAAGGTAAGAAGCATATGCTTTTTATCACTGGGATCCACATTATATTTCTGGATAAATTTCAAAGCTTAAAAGTACATTCTTTAATGATTCAATTTAGCATGATATAGAAGACAGTTTATCCTTTATAAATCTTGAGCAAGGCCTTTTGGCTAAATCACAAAAACACTGAAACCAAAAGGTATGCTGCATGATTTTTAGAACTAAGAAAACCTCACAGCAATAGAAATAAAATACTTTAGTATCCATCAACTGGACCCAGGGTAGACTACCCCTACACACTGCAACAGAAAGGTGAAAAAGAGTGAGTCTCAACAAGTTCTATATACCCAGAAACCAGCATCCTGAAGACTTACAGCATAAATAGCTAAGTTTTGTCTTCACAGTGGGCTGACTTCAGAGAAGGAATGCATTGCCCCGTACACCCTATCAAACTAAAGGCACTGTAGCTGGGCACCATCAGCAGCAGAAAAGATCTGCTGTCTAAGTTTATACTGATTATTGGGGCTGCAATACAGGTCTTTTGAAACATAGAAACAAATGTATAATGCTCTAGTATTTTTAAATTTGATATTTAAACCATTCATACCTTTAATATGAAGACTAGAAAACAAAACAATTAAAATAATAACTACATTAATATGTTAAGCAATAGGACATATAGAAAAATATAAAACGGAAAAAAAAGAATGGAGCATTTGAGTTCTTGTGAACACCATTAAAAAATGGAAAATCTACATAACTGACAATCTGAAGAAGAGATGAAAGTAAAAGGCACAAAGATCGGTCAGCTTTCCCACTGATAAACAAAACACCTGAAACTTGCAATTCAAAAGAAAAGAGGTTTATTTTGGCTCATAGTTTCTGAAGGCCCAGTTCATGGTTATCAGCTCCAAAGTAGAAACATCATGATTCAAAGATGTGGCAGAACCGAGCTGCTCACTTCATGGCGACAGGGAAATAGGGCAGGAGGAGAGAAGGGTAGGGGGAGGAGAGGGAGATAGACTGACTCTCTAAAGGCATACCTCCAGTGACTTCCTCCTGGATCCCACTTCTTAACAAACACTCAGTTGTAAACAGCACTGGATTGATTCACTGAGTATAATACCCCCATAATCCAATCACCTTTCCAGGGGTCTCTTAACAAAGTCCACCCAGTCAATAGTTAACAAGTTACCAGCACAGCATACAAAACCGTTCTGCTTCAGCGAAGCAGAAAATTTCCCAAATCTTTGGAAGGACATGAACCCCACATAGAAACAAATAAAAAATACTTTCTCCATGGCATACACTAAAACTTTCAAAAAAATACTAGAAAAAAGCATGCAAAATTCCGCAAGAGAGGAATGTCATATTAAAAGGCAAACTCATCAAATGAACCAGGTCCTTGACAGGACGGCACAGACAGAACAATGTACTTCATGTCCTGAAAGAAAATAACTGGAAACCAAGATTACCACACTCAACAAGGGTATCCTTCAGAAGTAAATGAGAACTTTCCAAGGTAAGTATAAATGAAAGAAATTCATAGTAACTAGATCAATTGTACAATAGATTCGTTAGAGAATCTAACACTCAGAAATGAAACAAAGATACCATAACAAGAGCAGAAAAAGAATACCACTAGAAGAGGAGATATACTAAAGAGAAATAAGAATCAAGCATTATCAACACAGTAAACTCATCAAACCACAAAGATGAATAGAGGAAGACACCAACAAAGTATATTCAAAACAACTAGAAGCAAGTCAACAAAATCACAGGAAAAACAAAACTCCATATCTTCAATAATATTCTGAATACAAATGGACTTAATTCTCCAATTAAAAGACACTGACTGGCAACTCGACAATATTCCGATATGCTGCCTATAAGAAAGTCACCTCATACACAGGACCTCGAAGTAAAAAAAATGGAAAATGAAATTTGATACAAATGAAATCCAAAAGCCAGGAGCATCTACACTTATATCCATCAGAACATACCCATAGAAAATAATTTTTCTGTGCCTACAATATTTGAATACCCCCCATGTATATATATATTTCTGAGTATGTGTATAGTGTATATAAGTTTTCCAAGTTACATAACTATGCAAAGGAAGCTAGGGAAAAATAATATACATACCATAAGCTTTTGCCCTGGTTCAGGGCAGAAAATAACAAAATCTGCTTCAATGTTAAGATGAATGTGTCCTTGATCATCATAAATATCTCCTAGTTCACCCACAACTTTGATGTTATCATATGCAATAGGGACACCTAAAAGGCTGTTAAAAAAACAAAAAAAGAAAATGATACCTTGTATCCTCTTTTAAAATAGGCCATTATCATACTGATTAGATACTTAGTCTAAGAGTTCATAAAAATATATCACCTGAATATTCCAATCATGTCAAAACATATACTGTATGTCTATTACAACAGTTAGCAGTTCCTCTTCATCAAAAGCTTCCAATGTGTTAATTGAGTTAAATAAACTGAGCCTTGTTCCTCATTTGAATTAGTTATGCTACAGAAACAAAGTCACTTAGGCAAGGAATCCTATTTCTGTAGGAATGAACATAGACAATTTTGATATTAGCTACCATCCACCATTTCTCAATTTCTGTACTTGATAGCATATATTAAAGGATGCATTACAGTTAAAATTGAAGACATGGAGTACTATTGCTAATGAATTAATGAATAAACAAAAATCCCAAACAGCAGCTGTTGCTAGTAAATGGAAATGTCAAGAAACACAACTACTAAAAATTTTCAAGAATGAAATTCAGAGGCTAGTTTGTATGGTTACTTTAGCAAGAATCATTGAAGTATTTTAGAAGAGCACTGATGAGAGAAACTGTTGTCTGAGTTGTCAGTGCCAACTGTCTACAACATCCATATTTTAACTACCATATTCACAATGATTCTTTGTAGAGGTGCAGGAAGTACCTAACTTTTTTAGTTTTCCCAGACAGCCATGCTTAGCATCATGTTGAAACATACAACAGAGTATAGGGTACTACAAATTATTGCTTATAAAAGGGTAAATGAAAATCAAAATATCAAGAACAAGTCCATACCCTTCAATAATATCTCTGAACACAGATGGACTTACTTCTCCATTTAAAAGACCAGATACCAAGTCTTTACAGGATCACCCTTAAATGTCTAAATCTATTCAAATCTTTAGGAAAACAAGTCAGTATGTAGCTTACTAAAGACTATCCAGCATGTAAAGACAGGAACCCTAACACTACATTATCACTATATAACTTTCTCTTTTTATATCTTTTTTGTTTTCTCAAAAACTCTTAAATCAGGCAAAGGGGCACTTCCTTAAGGTACTTAGGGAACAGTTACATCAAATTTAAGGGATGTTTACACTTAACATTTAAAACTTCTTTCAAACTAGTACTAGGAGAGAACATTTGCTATCTTGAAATCACTCAAAGCCTGTCATATGGAAGAGACCTAATGGTTTTTGTTTTTTGTTTTCCCTGAATGGCCTCTCAAAGGTATAACTTTGAAGTTATAAATGTGCTTTTAGTAAACTACTTATTTTTTCTAGCAGACAGTCCAAAGCTGAAATGGATTTTTAAACAACTCCTAGGAACTCCTGTCACTAGGAAAGGCAGATAGTCTGTCATGTAGTAGATGCTGCTTAGATGACTAATCTGACTCTCAATTCATCCCTTTTCTCAGCCTTTAAACAAAGACCTACTGATACTACACAGGATTTCCCCACAAGTCTGAAAACAAAGTATAAACAATAAGTAGTTCTTTGTTAGTCGTATAATACCTAACATTCAATGTTTTGTCCCTCACCAGTAATACTTATGTGTGGTGCCTAATCTGTGCTGTATAAAGAGGCCATATTAGTATAACCCACTAGTAAAAGTGAAGAGAGGAACCAATTCTGTTAAGAGTACAGCCTGTTCTACATGGCCATATCATCCAAGCCTATTACAGTCCTTCATCACTCTTGAGTAATGGCTCCTACTGGACAGCGCTCAATGACTCCCCTAGACTGTTAAGTGGAGGAAATAATAGTTTAATTAAAGAGTAGCAGCAAAATGACCTATCTTTCCAAATTTTATGACCATCTTGTATATTCTTAAATCTTTCCAATCTAATCATTTTTCTCTCAAATAATTGTGACAATCTCTTAACTGGGATTCTTGGCTAATATCTTATTCTATTTAAAATATCATATAGAACCAAGTGCTCTTTCTTAAACTGCAAATCTGGTTATCTCAAAGGCATTGTGATTATATACTAATATTTCCAGTGTGTCTAATCTCAGAGTTGGAAGACAGTAAGAAGATGAAGCTAACAGTACTTAAAAACAAAAACAAAACAAAACAAAACAAAAAAATGGTAAAGACAGGAAAGGAAGACTACTGAGTCCATCTCCCACTTTTGTCTTTGATAACTTGCTCTCCAATCCAATGGCACCCAATGCTTTCCCCTACATAAATCTTAGCACAGCTATATAGTTGCCTATATACAGTTCTGTATAATAGTTCAAATCTACTACCCATTTATTTATGCTACTCTTTCCCTGGAATGCTACCATCTCAACAAAATTTCCATCAAAGAAGTTCACAAAATCAAATTCATTCCTTTCTTACTGTAATTTAGATTTCTGTCCGATTTAAATTCACCGGATTTGTCTTACATGAATTACCTCCACTACAGCTTAAAGCTCCTTGAAATGAGGACCTCCCCTTTTTTTTTGGTACTGGGGATTGGACGGAACTCAGGGCCTTGAGCTTGCAAGGCAGGGGTGGTGCCATTTAGCTAAATTCCCAGCTCAATTACACTTGATTTTATGTTCCAAGTCTCTAGTGCACGATAGATATAAAACAAATATATGTCAGTGATTAGAGAAAGCTATATATTCTAGACACACCTGTGGGATGGAAGGGCACAATCCACTGAAAAAGAACTGGAAGTTTTGGATAATTTGCCTAATGAAATTCAAAGAAAAATCCCTGCAATTCCTGAGGGTTCACAGAATTGAGGGTCACCTGTGAATCCATTCCAAGTTTCTGAACTCTTTTTGAGCCTCACTAATAGAGGAATAGTAAGACACATCTCCACTTGTTAATTTTGAATTTTGAAGTTACTTTTAAAAGACTTAATGTAAATGTACTTGTTCTTCCCAAGACCAACAGGCTTGCCAATTAGCCTAGACTATTTTTAAACAAAAAGTATTTCCTTGAACCTTAACTATGTCCAAGAGACCCCTGGAAGTTATCAGAACCAAACAATAACCGCCTATATTTAAAAATGAATCAGTTCTACAAATGCTTACGTGCATTCTATGGAAAAAGATAATTTATTTAAGTATTGGTTTCACCTTTTCATCATCGAATGAGAAAGCATCGTCCTGAAGGAGCTAAGTTAAATGCTAACTAGAACTCGGCCTACTGGGATGGTCTAGGCTCAAGTTCCTTCGCTGACAACTCAATTCACCTGTAAATTTTCTTCCCTGCCTGTGAAAGGGCCCCTCTGCAGATCTCGACTTTGGCAGCACTGCCTAGCTCGGCGGACTTGAGAACAACACCCGGACCAAACTCCGGGTAGTCGGGGCCACTTTTCCATTTTTTACTGAACCATCAGCATGTGTATCCGCTGCCCTTTCCCGTGCCTAGAAGGGGCGTCAGGGTACGCTTCGGTGTCGCCAGCTCGGAAAAAGGAAAAGGGAAGAGACCGGTACCTCTCGGAATAGCGCAGGAGTTCGGCATCCAGCTGCTCTCGGATACCGGTGCGTTTCCGGTTGAGGTAGCGGGGCGACAGGGCGATGTGTCTTCGGTGGGGCCCAGCCACAAGGCAGGAGTAACGGCTGTTCACCAGCGCACAAGCAGCTGCATAGGTCGGCAGCTCCAAGCAAGGCAGGGGGCCGGCCGGTCCCACCACCCGTCCTTCCGAGGGCCCCTTGGGCAGCGAAGCCTCGGAGGAACCAGCAGCCATGCGGCTGGTGAGGTTTCCTACGGCGCGTATCAATGACGTAAGCACAAGCGCGTCTTCTCGGACGCGGGGTTTACGTCACGCAGGAGCTACCACGCCCCTAGAGATTTTATCTCCTTTCGTTGCATTGTGTAGATCTGACCAGCAGAGGGCAACTGTTCTTTCGCGCTTGCAAGGATTTAGCGCGGAACTTTTCTACATACGGAGCATACGTCAAGGCCGACCACTTCTTTTTTTTTTTTTTCTTTATTTTCTTTTGTACATGTCTGCGGTATCATGAGGAGATGGTACAGGTACATACTGCATTTCTTCTATAAAGAGCGGACAAAAGTGTTTTCACAAACTCCCTCACCACATTTAGTATAGAGGCAATGGGCTGGCAACCCTGACCATTTCCAATAATATGCTTTGCTGGAATTGTACAAGCTTGAACTGTACAGCAATTAAAATAATTTATGGAGTATATTTAATACGATCCTATGCAACAGCCCACATCCTTCAACTACAACAGCTGAATATCTCAAGTCCAGCTTTTCTCCTCATTCCGCAATTGATAAATCAGAGAAATCACTGCTTTTCAAGTGGCTCAGCCTAGGTGTCATCTCAGGACTTCTCTCATGTCACCAATCATCAGCCCAAAGACCTGCGCCACTTAAAGCGGAAACACTGCTCTATTTGGACACATCTGTCTGTCCTACAAGCCTTCTTTTCGGGCTGTAGTAAGCTAGCTTAAGAATAAAGAAAACACAACAGCCTGATCCCTGAAACAAACTAAGATCATGATGCGCCCTGTGTAAAGCCCTGGGCAGCCCCTCATGTTCCTACGGTAAGGTAATCCAAACTAACTTCTTACGGCTCCTAAATTACCAAGCTATTGGATGATTTGCTCCAGCTGCTTTTTCAGCTGTCTCAAATACAACATTATCTGTGCGCCACCCTTGCTGTGTGCGCTTTAAACTCTCACCTACACAAGCTCTCTCCCCTCCAGCCTCCAATCTTGTTCCTTCCCTCGGAGATTAAAGTAGCTTCTCTCATGTCAGTTTTTAGGTTGATTTCACATTTTCTTCCTCTGCAAAATTTACTGACTCTACTCCTCCTCCCCTGTAAGCATTAGGTAGTTCTCGTTACCTCCATCGAGAACTTGTCTTTGTATTAACCTGCCTGTCTTGGAGAGATGATAGGAGGTTCAAATAAATAAAAAGCATTTTCTTTATTATTCTTTGCACATTCATTGTGAGAAAGAAACACAGTGAAACTGTTCTCAAAGTCCAGTGAGAGACACTTTAAGTCCACAAATGGGAAATGCAAGGAACTCTAACTTTTATTACAAAGTCTTGTAACACTGTTGTGCAAGACAGTTTGCTCATTGTTAATAAGCTTTAGTGAAGATCAAAATAAAAAAAACCCAGAACAAATAAGCCTCCTGGTCACTGATTTTATCTCACAGTGAAGATGGATCTGAATTGGCCACAGATGATTGAAACAAAAATTTTTTTGAAAGAGCAATTTAGTAAAAAACAGGCCAAACAATTCAACAACAACAACAGGTCAGATGGGTACTAACTCTGGCTCTGTCACCTTGGATGACTTGTTTAGTGCTTCAAACTTCAACTTCCTACCCTTTAACAGTATGATTATATGGCCTTAGTATGAGGATTTAACAATGGCAATGTAATACTACAACATTATATTAAGTGACTGTGCTGTTAAGCATTCAGTAATATTTCTTTAAATCCATAATTAATGACTCAGATAAGGTATCCTTTATTCAATAGGATTAAGACTGTATAGTTGAACTTGAGACCAGCTATACATGACATTCTAGAATAACACGGCAGAATCAGAATATAAGACAGAAATGTAGAAAAGAGTATGAATAAACACTGGAAGATGTTTTGGCTCCACTTGTCTGAAAATAATTTTTCCCCTCTGGTTATAGCAGTGTGATTAATTTCAACTCCTTCTCACTACAGTGTAATGATAAGTAAATTATATATATAAACATTTTATGCAGCTTAAAAATAATTATAATTCAGTATCCATTTAAAATATCTCATTGCTAAAACTCACTCAAGATACACATAAAGATACTGAGATACAAATTTGCACTTTCATTTTTAGAATTAGAATTGCTTTAATACAAAGGAGTTATTTGAAATTAATATGATTAAGGAAATAGTTTCTTAAGTGTTCTATAAATTGTAAATATAGTGCTTTTCATGGAAGTGCGTGTTTAAAATTTGCCTAATGCATTTGTAAATGAAACAAAAATAATCTGAACACAATACAGTCTACATCAACTGTGCCTCCGACCACTTGTAACTCACGAGTATGTCAGCAGAGGGCAAACATGAGTTTTAAAAGTGCAATGTTTCACATCCTCTTAACTGCACTGCAGAGACGGTAAAATGCTGTGGCAATTATTGTTTGATGGCTTGTTTTAACCTATGATCCTTCTTCTGAAAGAAATAAACTTTTGATTCTGAAAGTTCCTGATACTTTCTTCGTAAGTGATCAATATTAACTGACAGAGACAGTGCCTACAGTTGATGAAAAAATTAATTACATATTATACTACATTTTATTGAATTTAACAGATTTTACATTTGGTAGGCTGTAGCTTATGCTGCAAAAACTTACAAATTAAATGGTTTAAATGAATATGTCTGTAAGGTCCAACTCCTTTAATAAGATTAGATTTTTTGGTGGGCTATAAATCAGGGTTTTGGACCCACAGCACCAAAATCAGCTGTGCATTGGTTAGAAAGGAAACTTCTCAGGCCCTCCCCTGGCTTACTCCACCAGGTCACAGAGGTCAGCAATGTAGTCTATTGGGCCCTTCAGGTGATCATAATACTTGCGAAGTTTAAGGATCTGTGGCCAAAGAGACCTGAAATACCAAGTACAGGCTCTGAAATAATAATTTGTTCAGCTATAGTTGATGCAAATGTGGTGATAATCAACTAGGTAGCTTTTTCATTTGACTTTGTGTCCAAACACAGCAGAAGTCATTAAATAATGTATACAATATAGTACACAACTTACATACATTTGGAAAACTAGAAGACCGTTGCTAAATTTCCATGTCTTTGATACATAGGGAAGAATTTCAGTTTATGCTCCCATTGGGTTATACTGGAAAGGAGAGCATCTTGGACATTCTGGTATTTACAATGAAGCAAACTAGAATTCAAAATATGATCATTTCCAAAAGGTATAGAACAATACAATCTTCAGGCAGGAAAAGCAATTCTCCATAGAACATGTGCTATTCTTCTATGTATTAACACATGTGTTCCTTTGTCCTAAGCATACCCAAACACCCTACAATGCTTCCATCACCAAAATAAGATGCACAAACATTTTTAATTAATAACAAATACAAACAGGCTATATCTTTATTATAAGCAAAAGTGTACAAGGTGATATGCCTATGTGATGATATTATCCTAAATGCTACTTTGTCACAATTACCTGAATATATTAGTTTTTACTTCATTATTTCAGAATTTCTGAAAAAACATCTGAAGTATCAGTTTCCAAGAAAAGGCAGTATATGTTCAACTTCCTTATTCTAGAGGGACATATTATCCTTGTCAATAATATATATGGATTTTTACATATATGGGTTACATATAAATTATATATATATATATATGTGTGTGTGTGTGTGTGTGTGTGTTTATACAGTTTGTGTACTTTTAATAAGTGATTGTAAATCACATTAGGTGCTTAATAAGGTAATGAAAAGAGCAGCAAACATACAAATGGAGGCAGGAATGGAGGAATGTGTTTAAAATTCAGCTTTAAACTACAGGCAAAATATAGTGGACACTCAGGTTACAACCAGCCTGACGTAGGAACAACTTGGCTTAATGAGATTAATGGAAGATTCACCTGCCTCTTGTTATGTATAGCAGGTGCCCAGGTAAACATTTAGATCTCAGCTGTATTGATTTACACCCAACTTGAGTTACAACCAGCCCTCAGGGACCGATTGAGTTTGTAAGTTGAGTCCACTGTAAACCCATGCCAGTTTTGAGCTCCACCTACCTGAGGCTATAAGTGTCTATGCAGGAATCTATGAACCATTACCAAGAAGGCAGCTATATAGCCCTGCACAGCGCTAGTCAAGATGATTGGATTAAATAATTAAAATGGTTTGAAGTTTTAGTGTGCATAAGTATTTACACATGTGACTAGAGCATTGGCGATTGTTTCCAGAGGATGGAAAGGGGTAAAGGAGGTGTATCAAAGGAGGAGACCGCTTAAGAGTGATGTGATGACATCATTATTTAATCTACTGTCTTTTTATGCAAACCAGGGTTAGTATTTCTTCTAAGGGTCTATTTTGTCTCCAGTCAGGTCCTACTGCAACCAAGTTTCCACTCCCTTATTTCAACATTTCCAGATCCAAGGAATCTGGCTGATAAAATTAACCATGCTTACAGGGATGCCTGTGGAAATCGCATTTACTCCCATCTGTCTTCATCTTAATGCAGAACAAAAATAGAAAAAAGTGTTTCTTTTTATTTTCTGAAGATGAAAGCTGTAGTTTAAGAAGATACCTGCTGACTACAGAGGTTGTATGGATGTGAGCTCAAAGATCCTTGACATTAAATATTTTCAGAGAACATGGTATGGCCAGTCTAAGGGTGGAGAGTAGATAAAAATGAAGTTTAGATGTGGTACCTTTTGATGTACAGTTTACTCTGAAATGATAGGATAAGATGTCAGATTTTATTCATCCCTTATAGCTGCAAGATGCTCTTAATATCTGTATGTTTTGGAAATTGTTTCAGTAACGAATTCTCTTTCTGCAGTGATAAAGTGGGCTTTCCTTGTAGCAAAAGAATGGCCTGCAGGAATTATGAGAAAAAACATTACCTAAAGGCCACATTTGTTAATACACTATTTGGAACTCCAGGATTTGCACTGAAAGGCATATTCCTGAGTGATGGATCAGTGACTATGTGAGAGCAAATCTGTCCTTCTGTGTTTTCCTTTCCCTTTATATTTGTGGCTGTGATTACTGCTGTC